GACGTAAGAACCAAGACAGGATTAAAAATGTATTCCACCTCCGACTATAAAATGTTTCACAGCTTGAAAGTTCTTCAACTTCCTGCCTCATGCACGGTTCCGAAAAATCCAGAGCCCGAGCACGCGTACCATTAGTCAGCCGAATTCTCGTGACCAAACAACGAATAGAATCTGGAGGAAAGATTTATGGGTGGCTGGCGAAATCGCATTGATGTCACGTAATCGAAGAAGCTGTTCTCGTAGCCTAAAGGCATGCTCGTTTCTCGCGGAATTTGAAAAAGCTATTGGCATCGCGTTTGCATACAGGTTGTCAAATAAATAACATCGACCAGCCGGCTGTCCTCTCGCATCGAGAAAAGAATCGGTTTCGTTCTGCCATCCAAGGATCTGTCGGGCCATAAATAATACATAACCGGGATACGGGCAAGTTAGCTCGCGGAAAAAAAAGGGAGAAACGTGGCAGGCAACGAAGCATTGCGAAGAAGAAACGCGTGGAAATCTTCTTGGTTTTCTGAGTCTTTTGACACTGCCTTTAAAATGCATAGAAATTATAAATAGAATTCTTATCCGAACAAATAAATTGCGGATTTCATGAAAATATGAAGATCGCATTTGACGTATAAAAAAATATGCAGAATATCAAAACCAGAAAGAAATTTCTATTCAAATTGTACTTTTAAAGCGACGAAGATCATCGGGAGCATTTATAAAAGTTTGAACAAAAGCGCGGCAGCAATTTTGGAACGCGCTCGATTTCCACCGAACGAACGCGCCTTTCTTTCGCGGAAGAACAAGCATTCGATGTTTCCCTCGAATCGATGACTGGTTCCCTTGTTCCGCTCCTTTTTCCCAGAGAACTCCTCTTTCTCCCTCTGTCTTCACGTACCGTCGATACACGTAACAGTAATTGTGCGTGCAAGCGCGCGGAGCGGCCCCCTCGCGAGCCGCATTACACTTTGTTGCGACCGATGGAATTGCATGGAAACGAAGAATACACCGCGCTGTTCCTTTGCCACCGACCGATAACATCTTGTTTTTCTAGATCCCTGCGGGGGAAGTGCTCGCTTTGGAATCGACCGGCCGTAGAACGCGGGTTCGATAATCGCTCTAAATCAGCGACTCTTATACTTCTTTTCATCATAGAATCCCCTTTAAATGCGTTTATCTCCTTGCACGTAAATTGGACTTAAGTAGATATAAATTCTTTATTCAAAGATGCTCATCAACGGTGGCCAGAAAAGTAAACGTTCATACTGCAATTATTCTATTAAAGATTCTTTTGTGACCTGTTTCATGGATTTAAGAATTGCTCGAAAAGCTAAAGGGAATCATGAACGAATACGGGCCATTAAATCTACGGAGTTTGAATAACCGTGATTTATGGCTGCACAGTAGGAAGAAAGCTTGGTTAATTTTGGACGCTCGGTTATTGATGGTCCCATTTGTGAATTGGTTTCAATTAATTCAGAAACGGTTCATTAGTCCCTTAAATCGCAGGTCGTGAGTCTTCTTAACGCGTTTCACGGTGGTAATATTATCTGCCACAGCTAGTTAATCGCCGGTGAAATATGCGATAATAGTGACCGAAAAATACTCGGAAATCGCCTTTATCTCCTCGCACTTTAATTGCACTTAGACGAGTGCGGTGCAAACACATGTATAGGTACATCCTCGTTCATAAGTCTTAGGACATAAGATGTTTAGGACGTAAAATGTACGAGTGAATACAACGTCATAGGGATATGAATAAACAAATTAAAATTCGTGGGATGATTACTTACGAATATACGAGTTGCTATATAATTTCAATTAAGATAGTCTGATGATTACTAATATGGAATGTCTATTAGATTTTCTGGTAGAAAAATACTTAAAGGTATTTGAAAACTTATGAACGGACATGTGTACAATGCGAGTTCCAGTGACCCAAAACGGGAGAATTCCTTCGATTCGGGGGGAGAGATGGGTCGTCAGGTAGGTTCTAGCTGCCACACAGTGGTCCTTTGTACGAGTAGCGAGGGCGCGGGATCGAGCCATTGGCATTATAACGGCTGCCTCCAAGGAGCCGACCAGATTGAAGAGGGTTTCCGTCGCGCCTCGTATAACGCGAAATCCATTCGAAAGTTAATTCGAAATTTATTCATGGACTCTGCGGGACCACTAGCTTCCGCCTCCTTTATATACGAGTACGTCCGAGCGTTATGTTAGGTACATGTGGCCGCAACCACGCGACGATACCTTAGGCCTATTCGCGAACAGGGGTGAAACTAGGGCTAAGAGAGAACAAACCTCTTCATGAATACGTAATGTTATTAAAATTAAGAATTAAGTTTCGTCGATCGATCGACCATGGTACTATCATCTTGAGCTCATTCATCCAAAAGCTTTATTCAACTTTTTTCTATGTTCGAGTTTATGTATGATTTGAATCGATAATGGGGCTGAGTAGTAAGTACGAACAGGAATTGAGAACATGTGATACCAGCTACAGTCGTCGGGTTGACTTGCCTTTGTTTGCAAAGGAAAAACGTCTCGAGTTAGTTCTCGATGTTCCAGATTCGAAGTTTGCGGTGGTCTCGGAGGTAAACGTTACCTTAGATGGTGCGAAACAAGGGGTCATGGATTTTATCGAGGAGATTTAGGTATTTCGAGTAGGTATTCAGATTTATACGCGGAACTCGCCGTTATTGCGACCGTATATCTCGCGTGTATCCAGAGAGGGCCGCGGCCGAGTGGCATTTCTTTCATGAAAACGACAATCCCAAAAGTACACCGTATCGCGTGGAAAAAGATATCGCTTGCTCGTAAAACCCGGCGATATTACGTGGCCAACGCGAAAGAGAGAACCCGATCGGGTTCGATGAGGGAGACAGGTATGCTCGCTTTACAGGAAAGGGAACGAGAGGGAGGGTGGACCGCGTAAAATCAACCTTATGCCGATACGTACCGACCGATAGATTTACAGCGTAGTAATAATAAAACGCGTGGAATACGAGCGTTGCATGGGGCTTTATTAAAACGTCCTGGTTTATGGAAGCTCGACCGGGATCGATACTCGTGCACCTATTCGCGAAATTATCGGCCGCTTCTACGTTTCGTCGGCTTTCCTACAACGAATAATAATCTACTAAATAATAGACACCTAAATACTGTTAAACTATGTTTGTCGATAAATTGATATGTAGGTAGTTGTCTCAACTTCATAATGTAAGAACGTGTGACACATATTAGAAAAACCTTATTACTAGCTCTGGACTGACACTGATTCAATGTCCTTGACACATCTGTATGAAAAAGAATCATAAAAGTGTCTTTTCACTAGCAGCTGACTTGTATAATCAGATCCATCGATATTTCCACGCGCTGTTCGTAAGCTCGATCAATCGCGGTCGGATAAAAATACGCTCGTCACGCTGATGCAACAACGTAAGGCGAGCGTGGGTATGGAATCGAGAGGATCGCTGTCGATTACGAGTATCGCGATTGCGTAACAACGGGTAGGATGCTTCTCGGAGATCCAATTCTGTTTCAAGTTACAGCAGCTATTCGTGTTGGCGTTTATTCGTTTCCGGTAACTCGCGAAGGAAACGCCACAGGTACTTCTCGAAGCTTTTCTCTCATCGAGTGTCATTGTGCCGGCAGCTGACTAGCGCGATAAGACGAACGGAGAAAAAGTCGAAGCGAATGAAAAGAAAGCAAACAGAGGGAAGAGGGGGCTCGCGTGAAGGGCTCGCGACTCCGGCGTGGCGGTGTTATTTCTAGACGAAGATTCGGTTTCCGGCCGCGCTACCAATTTGTATAATTACTGTTTTCTCTGAAAGCAGCTCTGCTGTGTTCCTTTGTGACCAGAAAAAAAGTCCTGCTACCCTTTCGGAGGACGTTCCTTTGACTTGTTGGCATTGATGTTTCAGACCATCCTATCTGTCCTCCATCTCCTTTTCAACACTTCCCATCGGTTCCATTATCATAATTGGCCGACGAAAATCGCGGTATGTCTTGGAGGGCCGATAGACTGATATACTCGTCTAGCGAGACCACAAACCAGATTAAAACTCCCGAGGACGCGGCTTAATTCGGTGCATTCACAGCCACGACTCGCTTTACGTAGGTTCGTTGCGCGGCGACGCGGTATCGGGTTCGTGAATCGACTAGCTTTCTAATTGTAAGGTGAATAGACGCTGATTAGGAGTTCTCACGCATCCCCGACCGGGCAGAAGGCTTCTCGTTATTCGTTATTTGACTCCGCGAGTCATCGGCTGATCCTATCAGCCTCGGCTGCTCTCTGCATGGTTATGTAGATGCCTACTGTTCACCAACCGCCGACACATAACTGTAGAAACACGCATTTACTTTCCCCTGTTCGATTTTTATTTCCAGTTTTACTTTGAATCTTCAGGTACGAAATAGAACACTACTTTATTTTCAGTAACGTTGGGTTAATTTCATGGAGTAGTCGACCCGAGCTTTATTGCTAATCATTTTGAGGAGAAGTAATCGTCGAGAGATTTGTAAGAGAGATTAAAGCAGTGCTCCAGGTTTGAACAGGTAGTTAAACGTCGTTGACTCGAATTGCTCGTCAAAAGGACGGTGCTAGGATAGAACAATTTCGTAGATCGTAGGTGTAAGCCTGAAGCATTGTGCTCGCGTTCTACCTTCCTGTCCTTCGGCCGTCTCTTTGCGAGCGGGCAGTCGCTCAGACGTTTCGCTCGCGGTAATTGCAGAACGGAACGTTACACGGTTCCACCCCTCCATCCGGTTTTTCATTTGGACCCCTTTTAGTGTCGACCTTAAAATAAACTTTGTAGCCCTGCGTCGTCGTTGTCGACGTCGACGTCGACTCCCTCTCTTTGGTTCCCTCTGTACTCTCTCTGCTCTTCTCGGTGATCCTCCCTTCCATTTCGCTATATGCGCGCGGTCTCGTCACGACGAGACAGCCAAAGAAGCGCGGACCGAAGGAAATGAAAGAGGGAGAGAGTCGCGGAGAGAGCAGAGCGCGCGCTTCGAGAGACACCCCAAAGAGTTACAGCTTTCAATTTAGTACTGCAAACACTCGCCGTGAGTTAATATCTGCCTTCCATTTCCTGGTGTAACCTCGTCACCCGCGAAAACGACCCCGTGAAACTTGTCGCCCGATTGTTCGGTAAGTCGTGGAGGAGCAGGAAACTACCTCTTCTCATTTAGACGTCGCTGGTTGGAAGGCGAACGATTAAATCGCGAGCGCCTAACCGGGTGGCCTGCGACGGCACGACGCGAAGCGCGATCACGAGGAAACTTGCCGCACGAGGAGACGATTACGTGTGCTCCGTTAATGTCGCGCGCGCAAATTGGATACCGAGGCGGATTCCAAGTAGGAAGCGACAGGCCGCGAAGCCGACCGATTAGACGCGACAGACGCGTCGAGCTTATCCTTTTCCTGATTACTGAACTGGGAACCTTTATTCCCCAACGCGTACACCTCGTATCGCACCTTCGTGTTGAACGTGACTGATATAAACTTGGAATGGCATATAGTTGGTTTGCTTTACAAGTAGAAAGAGTTCGGTCTTATGAATGAGAGCAAGAGCTGTAAAAGAGTAGTGAGCTTAAGGTTACAAAAAAGTTGTGTAACATCGTTTTGCTGCACAAACTTGGTTTGACGTGTGAGGAGAACTCCAAGATTTCGCACAGCAGTGGTATCGATGCGAGCGTGATTTGCGGTTATTTCAGGTCGCAGCGGAACCGTGAGGATGTGAGGAAGGATGCACCCAGAAGCAGCGCGTGAGATCGTCGTGATCGCCAGGAGATGGCCGCGACGCTCGTTTCAACGTGATCCCTCCAGGCAAGCAGGGAACGCGAGGTCCGCCGCCGAGCGATGCACTGAGGCCCCGTCTCGTGGTGGATTATACACGAGCTGCAGCTAGGACAAGCAGCGAGCCAAAACTGGACATGGAGGAGGTGCGAGGTTCCCCGGCGCGCCGTCTTTCGCAGATCCTCGACCCGATCGCGAGGCTCACCACCGATTTCGGCTCGAACTCGGCCCCCTGTAGTCCCAGACTGGGCGTACGCGGCCATGATACAAGCGGTGGTATCGTTCAGACGGGGTCACCAGCCGAGGCCGCGCTTCGAAGACAACAAACGGGCTCGGAGTCGAATAGAGGCGGATCGGCGAGCGGCCCGGAGAGTCCTCGACTCTGGCCGAGGCAGATTCGTCAGGCTCCTGTCCCGCCACCGCGGCCCAGACACGCGAACAACAACCTGACCGCAGCGAACACTGCCTCTGGAAGTCTGTCGCCGCCGGTGCACGCGAGGGACTCGCCGTACGTGAACGTTCCGAACCTGTTGTTCCGGGAAAAGGACAAGGGTTTCGCGGAAGCTGCGAGGAGCGCAGGCTATGTCGAGCTCAGGGACACGAAGCCAAAGTGTAGCCCGTATGATTTCACGTCGGAGTCCAGTGGCCACGTCGAGTACACCGACAAACGAACGTTCGCGGCACAGACTGACTTCGATGGATCCTCCGGTTGTTACGACGCCAAGGACCTGGCCGCGTTCGCCAGGGTCAGATCGAACTTTGACCCCGGACCCGCGACCCGACCGGCCGGACACTTCGATCGGGCGTACTCGCTCTCTGGTAGACAGCCTGAGCAATCTGGCAGGATGTACGCGGAAAATCGGCTGTACGTCGAGCAGAGGAACACGGCAGCGGCAGCTACTTCGGAAGCGAAGAAAGAGAAGCTGGAGGGCAGACCCGCTTACGGTTCGTCCAAGAGCTTCGATGGATACTCGACCGCGGTGGAGGACCTTAATTGGCAGGAGAGGTGCCTGGAGCTGCAACTCGAGCTGCACAGAAGCAGGAGCCAGGCCACCAGGGTTAGAGACATGCTACGCGAGAAGGTAAGTCCGTGTTTACCTTGCTGTTCTGCTTTTTACCTGGTGCATACTACGTTTTGTCCAATTCTGCTCGATGCTTTACAATTTTTGAAACGATGATAAAGGTAGCTACAAAAAATTGGCGCTTAAAATCAACGGAAGCGGCGTTTAACCTCGTCCGGGAAATTGCATTGCTCGAATAGATAGAAAGGTGTACCTAGCGAGATGACTCGTTTCGAAGCCACTCGTCTCGACCCATATTTTCCGGCTAGCCCGCGGGGACCAATCGCGGCAAATGGTCCGTGACTAAACCAATAAGCGATCTCGTTCCGTGTCGTCGGCGGAACGGCCGCACCGTCCGATAACCGTTCTCTGTTTTCCGCGTCGCGTCGCGTTTGACGATCGAACGGGTTGCATTTCCGTGGAACGATCTGCTCGCTTGGAATCGTACTCGTTCCCACTGGTACCTCAATTCGGTCCTAGACGTCCTATACCGCGTTCGAGTTCTACGTTCTCCGCATTCTGACCCATCGGAAGGCCAAGGGTTATTGGGTTAGTGCAGTTAATATCGTTTGATCTCTGACCCGCTCCAATTCTTTATTTACTAAAACAGTCAAAATGTAGTTAAGGGTTTCAGAATGGAATTAGTTCGAAGAAACTCCAAGATTTCGCACAGCAGTGGTATCGATGCGAGCGTGATTTGCGGTTATTTCAGGTCGCAGCGGAACCGTGAGGATGTGAGGAAGGATGCACCCAGAAGCAGCGCGTGAGATCGTCGTGATCGCCAGGAGATGGCCGCGACGCTCGTTTCAACGTGATCCCTCCAGGCAAGCAGGGAACGCGAGGTCCGCCGCCGAGCGATGCACTGAGGCCCCGTCTCGTGGTGGATTATACACGAGCTGCAGCTAGGACAAGCAGCGAGCCAAAACTGGACATGGAGGAGGTGCGAGGTTCCCCGGCGCGCCGTCTTTCGCAGATCCTCGACCCGATCGCGAGGCTCACCACCGATTTCGGCTCGAACTCGGCCCCCTGTAGTCCCAGACTGGGCGTACGCGGCCATGATACAAGCGGTGGTATCGTTCAGACGGGGTCACCAGCCGAGGCCGCGCTTCGAAGACAACAAACGGGCTCGGAGTCGAATAGAGGCGGATCGGCGAGCGGCCCGGAGAGTCCTCGACTCTGGCCGAGGCAGATTCGTCAGGCTCCTGTCCCGCCACCGCGGCCCAGACACGCGAACAACAACCTGACCGCAGCGAACACTGCCTCTGGAAGTCTGTCGCCGCCGGTGCACGCGAGGGACTCGCCGTACGTGAACGTTCCGAACCTGTTGTTCCGGGAAAAGGACAAGGGTTTCGCGGAAGCTGCGAGGAGCGCAGGCTATGTCGAGCTCAGGGACACGAAGCCAAAGTGTAGCCCGTATGATTTCACGTCGGAGTCCAGTGGCCACGTCGAGTACACCGACAAACGAACGTTCGCGGCACAGACTGACTTCGATGGATCCTCCGGTTGTTACGACGCCAAGGACCTGGCCGCGTTCGCCAGGGTCAGATCGAACTTTGACCCCGGACCCGCGACCCGACCGGCCGGACACTTCGATCGGGCGTACTCGCTCTCTGGTAGACAGCCTGAGCAATCTGGCAGGATGTACGCGGAAAATCGGCTGTACGTCGAGCAGAGGAACACGGCAGCGGCAGCTACTTCGGAAGCGAAGAAAGAGAAGCTGGAGGGCAGACCCGCTTACGGTTCGTCCAAGAGCTTCGATGGATACTCGACCGCGGTGGAGGACCTTAATTGGCAGGAGAGGTGCCTGGAGCTGCAACTCGAGCTGCACAGAAGCAGGAGCCAGGCCACCAGGGTTAGAGACATGCTACGCGAGAAGGTAAGTCCGTGTTTACCTTGCTGTTCTGCTTTTTACCTGGTGCATACTACGTTTTGTCCAATTCTGCTCGATGCTTTACAATTTTTGAAACGATGATAAAGGTAGCTACAAAAAATTGGCGCTTAAAATCAACGGAAGCGGCGTTTAACCTCGTCCGGGAAATTGCATTGCTCGAATAGATAGAAAGGTGTACCTAGCGAGATGACTCGTTTCGAAGCCACTCGTCTCGACCCATATTTTCCGGCTAGCCCGCGGGGACCAATCGCGGCAAATGGTCCGTGACTAAACCAATAAGCGATCTCGTTCCGTGTCGTCGGCGGAACGGCCGCACCGTCCGATAACCGTTCTCTGTTTTCCGCGTCGCGTCGCGTTTGACGATCGAACGGGTTGCATTTCCGTGGAACGATCTGCTCGCTTGGAATCGTACTCGTTCCCACTGGTACCTCAATTCGGTCCTAGACGTCCTATACCGCGTTCGAGTTCTACGTTCTCCGCATTCTGACCCATCGGAAGGCCAAGGGTTATTGGGTTAGTGCAGTTAATATCGTTTGATCTCTGACCCGCTCCAATTCTTTATTTACTAAAACAGTCAAAATGTAGTTAAGGGTTTCAGAATGGAATTAGTTCGAAGATCATCAAGAGAGAATTGTTTACTGACAAACTTCATAAGATATTACCATCGCTTTATGGAATATCTATTAAACACTTGGCAAACGGTCCGCAAAGTTTTCGAGAGAGTTGCATGTCGGAGCGATTCGGATCGAAAGCGAGGTCGAACCGGTCCTTGTTACATCCGTGGAACAATTTATACCGTTCACGGCCGGTTTTATCCGACGCTAGACATACGTCAAATGAATTGCACGAAGGGTGAACCGGTCGGTGGGGAGGGAAAACGCCGCTTAGGAACATACGTCTTTAGTATGCACGCTCACGCGTCACGATTTAACGCGGCCACCCTAGATAAGGCACATAGCCGCCGTTATAGAGAGCCGGGAAATGGTCTCCTTGCTCCTTCAAAACCTCTCGTGTCCCTTAAACAGAATTGAATCACTTACCGGACGCGGAGGCACTTCAAGTCGTTGCCAGAGAATTACGCAAACGCCTATTGAATATTAAAACATTATTTATTATATCTTTAGCTTTAATCAGAGTTTCTGAAATTTTGAGATCGGATTAACCGCCTGTGACGAGACTTATCGGAACACCGCAGAGCATAGTTTAATATGCATTTATTAAAACGTTACTACCGGGTAGTAAGGGTGACACAGCGTTTACGATGATTGCAGTGCCTATCACGCGTGCCAGTCATGCTAAAGTCGTACGTAATATTCTAGCCACGTAAAAATTATCGTTTATAAGTCGCACGCGAACAACAAGAAATTGATTGCGACTCGAAGTAGTTGTACGTACGTAGAATCAGCTGACGAGGTAAGAGAAAGAGACAGAGGGAAGAAACAGCGGTTCCTTATCGTTTTCATATCGCGCCTCCAAGCTGAAGCTTATTACGCGCTGCTTGCATCACTACCGGATCGTTGTCCTGAGTGACGTAACGTTTGTTTACAACGTCGATTGGCTGGCGGCGTGATTCGAGATTACGCTAGCCGAGCCAACGCGAAACTTGTAGCTCGTTCGATTTCATTCCGACCAACGTTTCTCGGCCGGATTTTCTTTCCACTCGCCGTGTGTTCCAGCCAGAGATACGGTTTATTACCAACTGCAATTACCAAGTTTCCGCGTAATTTTTAGTAATACGCTGCTAACACGAAACTCGCGCCGGGCTCAAACTTTCACGGGTTTATCCCACGACGCTTTGAATGTGAAAGAACGGAGATTAGATTATCTGCCGCGAACGCATTGCTTCCTGCAGGGCTGTAAGTAGCTTCGTACCACGGCGTGGCCACCGAGGAATCCCTTCAGGTAGACCAATCGATAAATAGCCCGGCTTAATTGGAATCCCACCGTCCTAGTCCTAACAAGCAGAAGTTACGGCAAAGCGCGTAATCCGCGTCTCAGCCCTGGAAAACCTTCGCCGTCGGTTCACCAAAATTCAACCCCGGTGCGTGTTCACGTCCCGGTCGATTCTACTATAGCGATCGTCAAAAGTGAGCAAACATATCACAAAACAGGGTTTATGCAATATTTTGGCAATATTTTGTAATATAGAACTACATAAGCGCGTTCCATGAGTTTTCTATGACAATTTTTTATTAGATACAAAATTTGAAAAATAGTTCTTTCTAAATATATACTAACTTTTGATTCTCGCTGTAGTATTTCCTGGAATCCGCTCACGTGCTCCGAGAGGTTGACCTTTCGTCGCGTGACAAGGGCCTACATTCCTCGTTCACGGTCGCGCCACGGAAATAGTTGAACCCGGTGTTCGTCGATCGTGTATAGTACAGGGTGGAGAACGAAGCGGGCGGGAGACAGCGCGTCTATCCGCGTATCGCCACTCTTTAAAGTCTCTTCAAAGGGCACTAACGAGTAACGGGATCGTAAAAGAATTAACGACACTCGCGCGTTTCCAACGCGATACAATTTCTCTTTCGCGTGCTGAAAGGGGTGACGCTCGTGCCACCCCGTAAAAAAAGGGCGGACGAAAAAAGAATGCCTCGTCGAGGACACCAGTGGCCTCGCAAAAATTCACGAACATCGGTTTTCCAGAATTTTCCTCCTTCCTTCGTGACGTTTTCACCGGCTGAGCGTTAATGCAGACAAACTGCAGAAAAAAGGGGTTGAGGACAGAGCGGGGTTGAAAGGATGCTGGATGAGGGAATGAAATGTTGACGAGAATTCGGCGAGCCCGCACTCAGTCGGAAATTATACGGATCCGCCATACTCGTCTATCCGTGGTATTCTACCCCGCTTTTGACCACGGTTTTAGTCTCGACCACCCTCGAAAACATTCAGTTAAACGGTAAATCGGTAAATATCGCGACACGGATTGGACGCGTTCGCTCGTACACGATGAACGCTGCTTTCGTCGCCTCTGAATATTTTTTTCGTTTGTTTTATCTGTTCTCTCTTGTGCCTGCTCCAAAAGGGTGGAACTGATGCACGTTCCCGAGGTGGATATTGATTCGGGTAAAAAACTGGTCGTGTAACAGGCAACTTATAAAAGGGTTTAATTTTTCGACGTAAGATTTATTATCTTTGATGAATAAATGACCCGCGCTGGCTCTTTGAAGTAGATATTCATTGAGGATCGAAAAATATAGAAAAACGTGGTTCATTAACGGACATAAAAGCGTTGGTAGATAAGACGAATATAAATTATTTAACAATATTTATCACGGAACGAATATTGATTCGGGGTAGAAAAATAACTATAAGATAGACACGGAGATTTGATAAAAGGTATACTGCAGGTATAAAAAGTTGCGACGTAAAGTTTATTATGTTTTATGAATAAATTAGGCAGTCAATCTTTTCGAGGCAGCGACACGCTCGGAGAGTATTAAAGTCGTTGAGCATTGTGCTCAGGTCGCTGTTAAAGTTGATGCGATCTTTGAAGGAGCGTTTTACCAGACGAAGCCTCTCGCGATAGCCATTCATTTTCCCCTTGCCCATCCGTCTTTCGTGTTCTCCTCAAGAAATATGCCGTTCGCCGACCGTGTCTCGTCTCAATTTTCGTTAGAATTTCTAATTTACCAGTGACGTGCGTCGTTCCGTGATATTTCGTCCTTGGCCGAAAGAAACGGCTTCGCAGCTGGCCTGTTATTTTTCACCCGGCTCTTCCCTTTGTCTGAGATTCGTGCCTCTCGTTATTATCTCGTTCCGCGTTACGTTCCGCAGCCTCTTCGCTCAGTCATCTTTGTCCCAACGAGAAAGCCGCGGGTACTCGTTTCCGCAAC